TAAGAGTTATTTCAAAATCTTCAGTATCAATTTTTATTTTTAATTACTAAAAAGAGGTGATACCAAGTGCTACCTAACACACTAGTATCTTATAAATTTAATTTGTTATTTTTTATCAGTTATCAGGATCAGTCTGAAAAAGCCACCTGTGCTGTATAAACAATTTTGGCATACTTATAAATTTACGTTCCTGGTTTTGCATAACAACATTGCGCAGCTACCTTATTTATATAATTAATTAAAATTTTAAATTTTGATTCATATGAATATTCTCTTTTAATAGCTTGCATGATATTTTCTTGTATTATATCAATCTGTATTTGTTGATCTTTATCCAAGCTCTTTTTAATAATTTTACAATGTTCAGAAGTTAGCTTAATTGTTATTGGTTTTGCTAAAAAGTAGGCTAAAACATCCTGGTATAGTTTTAATTTCTTTTTATTACGAACACGAAATAATTTTTTAGTTATTTCAGACAGTGTTATATGTGGTGGAATTATTGTTAGATCAGTATATTTTTTAATTTTATCCTGTATATATCTATAAGTATAAGAGTGTAAGAACTTCTCTTTAAAAGGTAGTTTTTTTGAAGTCATAATAATCTCTTCTGTAACAATTTCATTACATTTTATCTGAGGCCTAATAAAATATTTAAAAACAGTTCGGCGTAGTTGTTGAATATCATAAACAGTATACCAATGCGAGTAATCAAAATATAATAATAAACCTTGGAATATATAATTACCACCCCAAACTTTTTGATCATGGTGGAAATTGTGTTTTATAGATAAATCTATTATATGTGTTAATGGTCTACATATATAATATGTTACTACTTCATCAAGACCATATGCATCAAAATATTGCCCCATATAACTACACAACAATTCTGCGTCAAATTTAGTTTTAGAGTTAAAACATGGCAAACTATAAGTATAGATCATGTATTTTAAAGTAACTGGATCATAATTATAATCATTAGCTAATTCATATCTAAAATTTATTTTAATATCCACACATTTTTCATCTAATTCTTCTCTTGTATTCATTATCCAAATAGTTTTATCTGTTTTTGTGAGTAAAGCCGCTAATCATAACCATGTTCCAATTAATGATAAACAATTTTCTTTAAGAGTAGGGTATTTGTTTACCATTTGTTTGCGCATGGCATAAAAATAAACCAATCAAAATTTAATGATCTGCAAAATTAACCAATTATAATTGTATATTTGGTTGTACATGCATATTTATTTGCGTATTGCATGAAAAAAACATGTAAACAAATACCCTACTCTTAAAAGTATAAGTTTTAACATCTGGAAATAATTCAGGATGATCTGTTATTATTAACATTTTCAAAACGTTTTTGCAAGATGAATACATTTTTTGAAAATTATTACAATATTTTTCACCAATTATGCTATGTATACTAACCAACTTTGTTGACATTTGTTCTATTACTTCAGCAATCTTTTCCATATGGTGCCAAAAATCATTCTTATAATTATATTCAAAATTCCATACATAGTCATTTAAATTATGTAATAATAAACTTTGTTCAGAACGATGTTTCATACAATTATTTCTATATACCAAGTACCAATATATAAAATGGTATGACATGTTTATTTGATCATTCACAAAAACATTTGAATATTGTGTCTATATATATTGATCATATTTTAAAGAAATAATTTTTTGTGGAATACCTAACTTCAAACACCATTGGGTTACATTACAATCGCTATAGTGTATAATATAAGATACATCCTGTTTATTATTATAAAAATCTATTAGGTATGGTTCACTCTTACCCCATAATTTTTTTTGGACTAATAATTAAACTTGGTGATGAAGTTTTAGTTTACAAATCTCAATTGAAAAATATATTCTCTGCAAAATTAGAAAAACAATTTATGAACCTTATATTATTTATGATATCTTATCTTTTGGAACTTACAAATTAAAAACCTTAGATCACAAAAAGGTTAAAGATCCAGTACACAGTGATCAATTAAAGTTATATTTTGATCGAGACTTATACAGCCTTCTAGTACTACAAATAATAATTACATAAACACCAAATACAAATAATTAGAAACATATTTTGTACCCCTTTTAAATTTATAAAAACACTCTAAATTCTACCTTTTGTACCAATTATCTTATTTATAAACATTATATTTTATAAACAAAAATTAAAATAGAAGGCTTTTAAACCGATTTATTACAAAACAATATCTTGGACTCCTTTTTAGAAAGTTATTATCAAAGCGAAGATGCTGTTAATAACTTTGAAATATTAAATAATCTTAACGAAGAAAGCCAAGAAAATAACAAAATTATTATTGATAAAATTGTTAGAGATCTTAATTATCAAATCGAAATAATGAAGATATTACTTCACTATTTACAAGTGATAATAATCTTGAAATATTAAATAAGATTATTTTAAAAGTTAAACAGTATAGGAAAAGAAAGAATGTTCATATCGCAAAACTCAAAGCAGACTACTACTTGGATGAATTACAAAATAGAAATAATAATGATAAAAAGTTTCTTAACTGAATTAGAAAGAAACTTACTAAGGAACTTGGAAAGAATAAATTAGCAAAAAGATAGAAGTCAAGCCAACGAATCTTTTTAATTTATCAAAAAGTTAAAGTTAAACAACTTTTTGAAGCAAAATTTATTAGTGTTTCAATAATTAAAAAATTAAAAGATAAACAATATAATAAAATACTAAATAAAATATAAAATTTTTATTAAAAATTTAAAAACTTAAAAATTTAATTAATGAAGACATGCAACAAAATCTCCAAGTTTGCAACCCTTGATCTCAACCTATTTCTCTCTAACACCAAAGTTGTATAATCCTGATTCTGCTCCCAGTTTTCAATTCTATCCTGCTCCAGCTAAAACTCCCTATCCGCAAGCTTTAACATTAATACCACCGCCCTTTCTTGTAATAACCTTTCCAATACTGCATTTTGTATTCCTCTTTCTTATAATGACCCTTTTAATTCTGCATTCCTTTTTCTTAATATTCTAATTTCACAGGCCAGTCTAAATTTTATTATTATTATTAAGTTATTGTTATTATTATTATTAAATTATCATTATTATTATTTATTAATAATCTTTGTTTAAATAAATCAAATATATTCTTATAGTTATAGATAATATATTTGTAAAATTTTAGAAT